ATATATATATATATATATTATATAGGAGGTTATGGCATATGTGACGGCGTAGGGAAGGGGGCTAAGCTGAGGCTATGCCATTGATTCAGCACCTGAACCCTCACAGACTTTACTGACATCACTTGGAAAGTGATTGAGTGCAAGAGGCTGCAAGGGCTCAAAATGCTGTAAACAGGAACGGGACAGCACTTTGTTACCTTGACGATGCTGAAACACGTTACACCCTTTTATTTTATGTTTTTACCTGATTTTAAGTCCTGCAGGCTCTTGCCCTACAGAGTGAAGGAGAGGTAAATGTCAATCTACATTTTTCAATAATCAATACACTATTGTTGGTCAAAACAGCATCATTAAGCAAAAACTAAAATAAATAGCTGAATAAACTAAGTATGTAATAAGGTGGTTGCATTTCTCCGATTTCATGTGTCTATGTACAATCTTAAGTTAAGAAAAATTCTAACAATGTTAACATCAGTGTTGGTGTCGATGCTGTTTGTTTGTTTGTTTACCGTTTTTCTTCTTCTTCTCTTATAAACAGATTTCTCTCTCCGGGCTTCCGCCTGGAGCGAGTTCAATCTCAAAAAGTTTTGCACCGGTTTGCAACATTTTCGGATTGAACAACATGTTTCCTTGCAACGTTGCGCAACATCGCACAACAGGCTTCGAATATGTTTTCTTTTGTTTGTGTAACACCTGTGACACGCCCATCAATCAGCTGCAAAAATTTGTGAACACAATGGCGTTCAAAAGGCAGGGAAATGCATTGCGCTTGTATAAACAACAGGGTGTTCAGGGTGTTCGTGTTTCACGGCATACCGCTATGAACTGTGGCAGTTCCCTCAGGGAAAGTCTGCAGAAATGCGGACTTATGAAAATGGTCTAAAAAGGGCTCAAAATGTCCGCGAGAGAGCCCTCGTACACTTGACGATTTGACAGTGGGACAGCCCTAAGCCCTCGCGGACTTCCCGAGAATGCGCCTCAAAGTCTGTGAGTCTGTGAGGGTGGACATTGGGATTGGGCCAGTCAATGTGACGACCCTCCACATGAACGTGCAAACAGATGGAAGTAGGTAGGGAGGGAGTAGCACGCAGTTTGCATCTCAAAACAGCGCGAGGGCTGGCTTGACGTCGTTTTCGAAGGAGGCTGGCTTAAGGCTGGCTCACAAGAGCTCCACGTTCCTCATTTTAATGCAAGGAAGCAGCAGGCTGCTCTTCTGATATTTCCCCTAACATGTAGCATAAAAATACAACTTTATTCTCGTAATATTACGACTTTATCCTCATAATCTCATAATTTTTTACTCCTCAACGTGGCCCTAATAATCCATCGTGTGACAGAGCTGGGCTTCTGTTTGGTTTCAGTGTTTAAATATAGACTGTACATGTGTGTGAAATACTTAATTCTTCTCCGTTAAACATGTATCTTTTGAACAGACTTTATTGGTTTTCCCGGCCAGGAAATGTGTTATGAAGGGCAACCAGTATTTCTTAAAAGCACTTTATTATATTAGAATTTTAAAAAACATTTAGCATATTGAGTTAAATACTAAGCGTATGTAACATACCTCCACAGGTAAAATAAAGCTTACATTCTACAATCTTCAGTTATGCTGTTGACGTCCACCTGCTGCTGCTAATAAAATTTAAAAATTAAAATGTTGGAGTTAAAATAAATCTATCCACTTTGTTCACAGCCCCGCTTCTCCACTACTTCAATGTTGTACTCCTTGTTTCCATCCAGGTGAGTCCCTCTGCTGTGACTGTTTTCCACTCAAGTCACATACAGTTTTATTTCAAGGCTGAGATGTTGGTATAAACAGGATCAGACTCCAACTGATGGGGAGAGAAAACAATATGAGAGTCAAAGGCCTCATAAATGGAAATTTAACAATAGATTTTATATTAAAAGCACAGGTTGAAATTATATATACTTAGAATAATTCTGTAAATAGTAAAACAATGCAAATGCAAACGGGCAATTAAAGTGTGTTTTAAGTTTAGAAACATTTTGAGTCCCCCCCTCTTGGTTTGGTCCACTGCCTGCTTTCCCTCACAGGAGTCTGGTTGGAGAAAACCAGTTCAAATCCTTCAGTTGTGGAGCTCCAGTAATGTTAAGATGGCTGCAGGGCTGTGTTATGCACTTTAAACATTGGATGAACTGATTATTTTGTCTTTATAGCCTGCAGCTGAGTGATTAATAAATTAATCATTGCAAAAAGTTATGATAACCGATCTATGAGCCCATCTGTTATTATAACATTACCTAGCTTGTTCGGTAGCTTGTTTAACAGCTTATTGAACTGGAAGTCATCTTCTACAGCTAGAGATGCGCAGATTGATCAGCTGAGGACTGAAATATTACTCGGCTCCGACCGGTGACCGGGCGTATCGCATCTTCCTCTTCACAATACCCCATAGATTTTCTATAGGGTGAAGGTCAGGCCAGTTTCTGGCCAATTAAGAACAGGGATACCATGGTCCTTAAACCAGGTACTGGTAGCTTTGGCACTGTGTGCAGGTGCCAAGTCCTGTTGGAAAATGAAATCTGCATCTCCATAAAGTTGGTCAGCAGCAGGAAGCATGAAGTGCTCTAAAACTTCCTGGTAGACGGCTGCGTTGACCTTGGACCTCAGAAAACACAGGGACCAACACCAGCAGATGACATGGCACCCCAAACCATCACTGACTGTGGAAACTTTACACTGGATTTCAAGCAACGTGGATTGGTGCCTCTCCTCTCTTCCTCCAGACTCTGGGACCTTGATTTCCATAGGAAATGCAAAATTTACTTTCATCAGAGAACATAACTTTGGACCGCTCAGCAGCAGTCCAGTCCTTTTTGTCTTTAGCCCAGGCGAGACGCTTCTGATGCTGTGTCTTGTTCAAGAGTGGCTTGACACAAGGAATGCGACAGCTGAAACCCATGTCTTGCATACGTCTGTGCGTGGTGGTTCTTGAAGCACTGACTCCAGCTGCAGTCCACTCTTTGTGAATCTCCCCACATTTTGAATGGGTTTTGTTTCACAATCCTCTCCAGGGTGCGGTTATCCCTGTTGCTTGTACACTTTTTTCTACCACATCTTTTCCTTCCCTTCGCCTCTCTATTAATGTGCTTAGACACAGAGCTCTGTGAACAGCCAGTCTCTTTAGCAATGATTTTGTGTCTTGCCCTCCTTGTGCAAGGTGTCAATGGTCGTCTTTTGGACAGCTGTCAAGTCAGCAGTCTTCCCCATGATTGTGTAGCCTACAGAACTAGACTGAGAGACCATTTAAAGGCCTTTGCAGGTGTTTTGAGTTAATTAGCTGATTAGAGTGTGGCACCAGGTGTCTTCAATATTGAACCTTTTCACAATATTCTAATTTTCTGAGATACTGATTTTGGGGTTTTCATTAGTTGTCAGTTATATTCTAATTATATGACCAGCACCTGTATGTATGTAAGTAAGAGACGTCCTGTCCCAGAAGAAACTTATATGTAGCCTAGAGGACGCAGGTTATTTAGGATAATATGACTGCGTGGTGAACCTATGAACTTAAGTCATATTTAAACAACTATTGCTTTGTGTTGTTGGCCAGAAAGATAATAGCAAGACTTCTCTCTGTGTACACGTATCCTATAAAAATACAATTTGGCTGTATTATTTGTGTCCCCCTCAAAAATTCTTGAGAAATTATATGTTTATTGCCTCCTCCCACTGTACGCCCATGATTAAAAGGAATGTTTAAAGGTGCTTGCACACTGCTCAGACTGCGCCCACTAACACCAACATTCCAAAGTTGGCAGTAATTAGTTTCAGTCTATAGAATGTTCAGAAAACCACATCAGTTCACACGGACCAGACAGCAACTGACAAGACAAATTTGTTTCTTACTTTATCTTATTTAGCCCAGGTTGTTTGTTTTTTTGATTTGACATGGACGACGAGGAGGGCTTGTTAAATATGCTAAAAGTAGCCATGGTCTACCTGGCCCTTAAAGCTGTTAGGCGTGTACAGGAGAGAGAGCAATCAAGACGAGCCAGGAGGAGACTGTGGAGTAAACCTTGGATAATGCAATGCGAAGCATAAGGGGCGTATCCTAATTTATGTAAAGAACTAAGCTCTGAGGACACTGCAGCTTTTGCGAACTTTGCCCGTTTTGCGCCTCCAGCTTTCAAGCATTTACTGACCATGGTTACTCCACTCAAAACACAAATTTCAGAGACTGCATTTCTCCTGGTGAATGTGACTTTAAGATTCCTGGCAACAGGTGAGGTTCTAAAATGTAAAGGCTAGCCTACGTCTATATACTTTATTCATACAATACACTTAGATGAAGTAAAAAGTATTACCTAACATGTTGGGGGTTTCTTTTAAAGGTGAAACCTTCCAGAGCCTTTCTTACCAATTTCGGATTGGTTGCTCAACAATTCCTACATTTGTTCCTTAAACCTGTGTGGCCAGTTCTTTGTGAAATATATCTCAAGGCAACGTTATGCATTAATAATTTATCATAAGCCTATATCATAAAGGCTACTGCTTATAGGCAGGGGGTCTTATTTATAAATGGTGCGTGCACACAAAGTCACAAAACAGTGGTGGATAATGTACTGTGATTATCACGTGTGTGTTTCTTATGTCCTTCTACCACCGTCACTACTCAGGAAGATCGCTTATTAAGGGGGGTTGAGCTCCGGTGCAGAAGCAATGTGTGTGTGCGTATTTTACCAACCAAAGAATTTACTTTTCCTTGCTTCAACCTCACCAAAAAGAACGTCAGTGTCACACTGGGATAAATTTCTTTTTTTAGCTTTTCTGTCAGAATTTGCCATCCTCATTAATGCATTCAGTACGTAATAATAATGAGGGAAATTTTACTAACCATTTACAGGAAACTATGGCTGTGTAAGGGTCGGACAAGGAGCTCGCAACAAGTTTTTTTCAGCAGGCACGTGCACATAGACAAAAAAGGGCTTCAGCACTTGCCCTTTTCATCCCCCAAGAGAAAGTGCCCTTTTTTCTGTGGTGCTTTTTTAAAATAAATGAATTTACAGTATTATTGTTAATAAACTCTGTGTTATTCACTGTGCTCCTAAATGTCTTTGTGTTCTAGATTTTTTTCTTTTAGGCACATGTCAGTAAAATAACAAATATCAATGATGCAAAAAACAAACAAACACACAAAGCAGTTAAAATATACTTGTCTGTGTCTGTTTAATAAACAGAAAAATCTATAAATATAATAAATAAACAAAACAATTAATGTCTATGAAGATTCTCAGTCATCCAGGTCATAGTTAGCCGACGAAGGTTAAAGTCAAGGGCAACTGGACTTGGTTGAAGATACTGGAAGACGTTTCGTCCCTCTTTCCAAACTGAAGAAGTCCTTTGGATGAGGGACGAAACATCTTCCAATATCTTCAACCAAGTCCAGTTGCCCTTGACTTTAACCTTTGTTGGAAAACAATTAATCACATAATAATATAAATAACCTACATTGATATAGTCAGCAGGTACTATTGCAACAGGAATGCATCAATTTAATCAAAATGAGTTGTTATACTGATGGTTATGAGGGTTAGGGACATTATACTGTAGATAAGCTGACCAATCTGAGCTTGTACATATCAAAAATAATGTGGGTCTGACTTTTGAATGGCTCTAAAGTCATGCTCCAAGTACAATATGCCATCATGCCATCAGAACGTTTCACTACTGCACTCTCAGTGAGTGTGCGCAGAGTAGCATTAACTGTCTCCAGAACTTGCTTATCTCTTTCTTGAGCTTGGGTGTCTGGGGACTTCCTCTTGCGCCTAATGAGGGGGGTGTGATACCACTTGGGGTTGGTTCGTCTTCTCCCGTGTCAGTCACATTTTCTTCACTGTGGTCTATGTTGGTATCATCTTTAGAGCTGTTGTCCTCCTCATTCTCAGGTCCATTTTCTTCCATGTTAGATAGAGTGTCCTGTTAAAAACATAAAAGTATTACTAATGTTAATTTATTTTTTCATTTAGTGCCCAAACACAACATCTGAATGGCTGGAGATTGCTGATGGATTCCAGAAGAAATGGCAGTTCCCCCACTGTCTGGGTGCTTTGGATGGGAAACATGTAGCAATTAGACCTCCACCAACTAGTGGCTCTGTTTATTACAATTACAAACAATTTAATTCCATAGTACTCATGGCCCTGGTTGACAGCAACTATAAATTTATATATTAGACAGTGGATGCAAGTGTCAGACGGAGGTGTGTTCAGGGAATGCTATGAATATTTATAAAATAAATATTCTCATGTTTTGAGGGATGTTTGACTTTGACTGCCTTTTCTTCATGTGGATCTCAAGAAACATCATTTTCTGCACAATCCAGGACTGACGTGGTGTGAAAAAGCCATCACTGCCTGATGGTGCCTAGTACCTGGTTATTAATAAAAAAAAATAATAATAATAATAAATAATATAATAATAATAACAATAATAAAAGGCATCTTTTAACTTGCCATTAGTACACCACATACATCAAAAGAGCATGTTCAGTTGTCAAATTTAGCTATTTTCCCTCTGTTCTCTACTCAGTAGCTTTTTTGCAAACATTATGTTGAACTGACATTACCAATGATTAATAACAATAAACCTCATCTGAAATCGTATTCGGGTTACAGTGAACTGTTTTACTAGTTAGCTAGCTGTACTCACCAGAAGCCTCCAGTTTCTCCTCTATGTATTTCACCGCATTAATCTTGCTATCGTGGTTGGAAAATGCCTGGCTCCTTGTGTTGTAGAGTTTGGGTTTCTCTTCCCACAGCTCAATCAGGTGTTCTTCACGTTCCTGGGTCCAGAAACCAGCCATTCTTGTTTGCCAAAATCATGCGCCCTGACGTTCCGCCACGCTAATTGTCAAGGGAACACTCTCAGAATGTTGCGGTTTGTTAGAAAACGGTGCACATTGGTCTGACTTTCTACAATTCGACTCAACCGACTAGACATGTCAAACTCTAAAGACTCCATCCAACTGACACCGACTGACGGCGCACACTGATCCAACAGTCTGTGTCGGTTGGAGTCTGGCGCCGTTTGTTGGGGCAGTGTGCAAGCACCTTTAGCCAAACAATTATAAACCTTTGGTGGAGGAAGTTCTGTCACTGTGGCCCAACAGTTTTCTCACCTCTAACGTCTCTATGGTTTCATTTGGTTCAGAGGTCGAGCTCAGAGTATTCTTCTTCCTGAATTTATTTTTAAAAACAAACAAATAAACAAACATTTTAATCAATAACTCCAAAATTATTAAGGTAAATATTCAAAGTTAAAGATCAGTGATGGAACGGGGGTTACGTACTGTAACCCGGATTATAGGCAGGAGTATAGGCGCAGCCCTCTAAGGCTATCGCTATTGGGTTTACCCCTTCCGCACACCTGCGCAGCCCTGAGGATTTAGTCTATGCCCACCCACAGCGTGGGCCTCTCCTACGTCCGCACCTTGTATATATACACACAACGGTGAGGCCCAGGCCGAGGGCCGACACATGCGTAAGTCGGGAAACTGGGTGGGGGGCCGTCTGTACAGACGCATGCGGGGTCACGACAGCGACAACATCAGCTGCGCACAAGGCAGGGCCATGTAAGCAGCGGCCGCCCCCCCACACCGTCCAGTGGGAGAGGGCGCACCGCACACTCACAAGAAGGATCACTCAGCCAAAACACTCAGTACTGAGTGAGTCTGAGAGAGACGGGAGACATCCCGTAAGTAGAAATGGACGAAAGAGCAAGGGGACAACCAGGAGGCCGCCGTGCAGATGTCGTCCACTGTCATCCCACCGTGCAACGCCACTGAGGAGGAGACACCTCTCGTGGAGTGCGCTCTGATGCCATCCGGGGGGAGACTCCCCGCCAGACACATAAGCCTGGAAAATGGCATCGCACAGCCAGTGAGACAGGCACTGCGCCGACAGGGGAGGTCCCTTGGACCGCTTCCTGTAGAGCACAAATAGATGCTGAGAACGGCGCCAGGCGGCCATGTGCGCCACATAGCAGGACAGCGCTCGGGGGTGGGACGTGGCGTCCTCCGCTGACCCATGGGGGGGAGGAAAAAAGCCCGAGAGGGTGAGAGCAGCGACCGAAAGGAGCTCGTAATGCTTTTAGGCATGAACGTCGGGTTAGGGCGCAGGATTGCAGAGCTGCCGTTGCCCTGAATCCTGAGGCACGACGGAGCCACAGAGAGGGCAGCCAGATCGCTGACCCTCTTGGCCGATGTCAGAGCCAGGAGCAAGGCGACCTTAGCCGAAAGGAATTTTGGGTCCGCCGTCTCCAAAGGCTCAAACAGGGCTTGGGTTAATGCGCGTAAAACCAGCACCAAATCCCACTGTGTGGCAACAGGCCGCATCACCGGCCTTCGCCTTTGCACCCCTCTAAGGAAGCGCTTCACCAGGGGGTGGGAGAGCACAGTCCTGTCCCCGAAGCCCTTGTGACAGGACGAAATGGCGGCAGTGTAGGTTTTAACCATACTGAACGCCAGCCCCCTGTCCATGAGTGGCTGGAGGAACGAAAGCACCGCTGGCAGCAGACAGGCGACTGGATCCGTCCCCTGGTCCAGACCCAGCACTGGAAAGCCGACCACTTAGAGGAGTAAGAGGACTGAGTGGAGGTGCCTCTCAACTCTTGGATGGTGCGAACCACCTCACGGGAGAGATCTAAGCCCTCCAGGCGTCGCCTCTCGGCGGCCAGACCCAGAAAGGCTGGTCGAGGAGCGGGTAACTCCTGATCGTACCCCCTGCCTGAGAGAGAGCCCCCCCTCCAGTGGAGTTTCCACGGCTGCCCTGCCAGCAGCCGCTGGAGACTGGGAAGGATGCGCTGGTGCGGTCTGGGGTCACCAGAATCACCGCCAAGGATGAAAACTGCAGGCGATCCAGGAGGCGCGGGATCAGCCGCACCAGCAGGAAGGCATACAGGAGCCAGGGAGGCCAAATGGGGTGAGCGAAGGCATCCACTCCCAGCGGGGGGCTGTCCCGCAGGCTCAGTGAAAACCAAAGGGCGCACTGAGCGTTCTCCTTGTTGGCAAACAGATCTACCTCTGCCCTGCCAAACTGGAGCCAGATCTGGGCCACCAGATCGGGATGGAGATGCCATTCGTCTGGGCGAGGGCCTCCCCTCAACATTATGTCCGCCCCTCTGTTCAGCAAGCCAGGGATGTATTCTGCTCTGATGGAGAGCAGGTGAGTGCGCGCCCACAGGAGCAGCCACCTGGCCAGGCCCAGTAGCTGCGCCGAGCGCACCCCGCCCTGGGACGTGCTGACCCTTAGCAGAGGGGAGAAGGGTAGGATCACCCTCCACACCGTGAGAAGCTCCAGCGCGTTTAGGTGGAGAGGCCTGCGGCCCTGCCACAGACCGCCCACCACCTGAGAGAGGCAGATTCCACCCCAGCCCATCAGGGAGGTGTCTGTGAAGACCGAGAGGTGGGACGTGACCCCGCCCAGGGGGACCCCGACCGAGAGAGAGAGAGGGGTCCCGCCAGTAGGCCAGATCCGGGGCCACAGACAGGGGTACGCAGATGCGGCGCCCTCTCTGTCTCACCGGGTCGACACGCAGGCGGATGAACCACCGCTGCAGCCTCCTCATGTGGAGAAGGCCCAGGGGAACCACCACGTGAGCCGCCGACATGAGGCCCAGGAGCCTCATGACTGACAGAGCTGCCACCGCCGCTCGTGGGACAACATGGTGGAGCAGCTCCATTAGCGCATCAACCCTCTCCTGAGAGAGCCGCGCTCTCCGGAGAGAGGAGCCCAGTACCACGCCAAGATAGGTGAGTCTCTGGGAGCACTCTTCATCCAGTTCACCGTGTGGCCCAGGTAAGACAGGTGTGCGACTAGCTGGGCAGTCTGCACCACCGCTTCTTCCCGGGACGGCGCCAGCAACAGCAGGTCGTCCAGGTAAAACAGGACCCTGATGCCAGACCGCCGCAGTGGCTCCAGGGCCGTCTCAACACACATGGAAAAAGTGCGCGGCAAAGGCAGAGGCAGACACAGTCGCCAGGGCACGAGGTGGGGCAGCTGCACGCGTGAGCCCGAAACCATGGCGCTCCCCCGACGAGGGGGGGAGGGCAGGGACAGGCAACAGAGGAAAAGGTCTGCCTGCGACATCGGAGCCATGCTGCATGAAGACCGCACAGCCAGCTGGGCTCAGGCCAGCCACCTGACCATGTCAGGGAGGGGGGCAAGGGGAGAGAGGATGTGCAGCGTGCATAATGCATAATGTGTGGAGCAGCGATAGGATAACACTACACACAGGGTTGTGTGTAGTGTTATCCTGTCCCCTTGAAGCGTAATGACCGCTTCAAGGGCTCATTTGACACAGCCTGGCTTCTGTGAACCAAGGGGGAGCCCCTGGACGCACAGAAGGAGCGTGCCATTGATGCCGTAATTATGCATGAGCTCGCATATGGCACTGCCGGGGAATGGGAAGAGTGGAGCCCGTGAATGGGAAGAGTGGAGCCATCCAAATCCTGCTCTTCCATCAACAGCAGATCGATGGCTTCATCCAGAGAGCGAGTGGACCACCACACCTCCTCATCCTGAACGGCAAAGCCGCCACTCTTCGGGGGGGCAGAAGGGCGAAGAACGGGCAGTGCGAACCGAGAGTGAGGCACGCCTCGCAGTGGGGATGGAGATCACCCAGCACGATGTCGCCCGTGTGGCAGACGCCGCGGCGACTCGCCCCGTTCTGGCTGGCTTGCTGGAAGACATCGTTCTTTTTGTTTTCCGGCTGGAAAGTCTTTTCTTTAGACAATCTTCTGCTCTTCAGACAAATCTTCTGCTCTTTAGACAGCTCAGTGCTGAAGAAAAATGGGAGCCGATGGCTGGGCCTCACCGTTGTATGTATACAAGGTGCGGACATAGGAGAGGCCCACACTGTGGGTGTGCGTAGACTGAAATTCTCAGTGCTGCACAGGCACGCGGAAGGGGTAAACCCAATAGCGATAGCCTTAGAGGGCGAAGCCTATACGAAATAGAACTGATTCATTCTTATAGTTTCACCTCATCCACAGACAAAACAGAAGCAGATGAATCAGCATCACAACCACCAGAGTCAACGTGATGATAATTATTAGCCTTGTTGAGTTCTCTAGAAATGGAGATAGACAGTTATTAGATAAACTGTGCTGGACCTCACTAGTAGAGTTGTATCATGAATCAGTTTGCCAGGAGATGCTCTTCTGTTAATCAGCCAGGTAGTGTCATGCAGAAACGTACCTGCCACAACAATCAGATGTAAGGTGGAGTTATGACGTCCTCTTCTGTTCTGGGCTTCACAGTAATAAATCCCACTGTGTTCAGCTCTGAAGTCAGTGATGGTGAAGTTCTGTCCTGATGCTTTTGGTGAGTCTTCATTCTCCTTGTACCAGGTATAATTAGCTGCAGGGTTAGCATCACTGCTGCAGGTCAGAGTCACCCTGCCCTCCACTATGTCAGCAGAGGGACTCACTGGAAGCTTTGGAGCATCTGGTAAATGTATATAGAAATAAAACAGGTTTTATTTAAACAAGGTTGTTATTGTTATTGTTAAGATGTTACTCGAGAAAAAGTGAAAATCACCCAGTAAAAAATTACTCGAGTAAAAGTAAAAAAAGAACCTGGTTTTAAAAGTACATAAGTATCAAAAGTAAAAAGTATTACATGTTCAAATCTATTGATCTTATAAAAAGAAATCTATCTTTTTAAATTCACTGAAGACAGGTTTGAATACAGCAGTGTAAATTGAAAAATGAGTTGCAAGAGATGTGGGTATTTCGTCATACTACTGTGATTAGACTGCATTATTGCTCTATTGATGTGGTGAAATGTTTCAGACTTGTGAGCCATGTAAACAATTATCCATTGCTGAACAGTCCCACCTGACACCACAGTGCTCTCATTAGAATCCTCATTAAAACAGTCTCTGGAAGAAGCCTGAATGGAAAATTCTTCTAGAAAAGAGCAGTGCTGGTTTGAACAGATCTCTGCGCACTAACTCAGTCCTCATGAAGTCTGATAAGGCTGGGTGCCAATCTGGTGGGTCATTTAGAGGAGCAGCAACTGTTGCATTAGGGTCTGAGCAGCTTGTATCTGATGCTTGCTTGTACATTTCTGGCTGTGCTCGTACTGGCTGAGGATGCCTGTACTTCACCTGGGTCTGTGGGACCTGCTAAAGACGTCTGGACTGGGTCTGTGCAGTCTGTCTGGGAAATTAACATAATCTTTCCAGAGCTGCAGTTTATTAAACGTAATAGTATTTCACGCTAACATTTGTCCGACGCAGCCTGGCAAGCAACCAAAACACAGACAGCCCAGGAGATGCACTAATCAGCTGGGTTAGCAGGACAGGACAGCTGCACATTATCATTACCGTTATCTGCTGACATCAGACTTTGAGAGAACACAAGTTTACCTGACTGCTGTCATTGAGGTTTTCTCTTGTTGTGCCCATAGTCCATTGTTTCCATTAAAGGTAAAGTATGTAAGATTTAGTGGCATCTAGTGGTGAGGCTGCAATGTGCAACCAACTGTCTAGACTACCGCTCCACCCCCACACCTATCAAAGAGCGTAGGATAGCTGTCACAGGACAAAAGGTGGCGTCTTCTGAGACAACATAGACAACACATTCTTACTCCCGACTCGTCACATATTGACGCTTGGTCAAGGCGCTTTAGTGTAATTTTTAGATATTTAGGGCCCTGCAGTCAAGTTAGCGACACTTAGCAATGTGAAATCTGCAACGTCCGGTTAAGTTAGCAACAATACATATGCAATGTCTGGTATTGACACATCGCCATTTTGAAAAGGCACCTTATTAAAGTTGTGAAACGTTGCAATGTGGTTAGGTTTAGGCAACGAAAGTACTTAGTTAAGGTTAGGAAAAGATCATAGTTTGGGTTTAAATAACTACATAGGTCAGTTAACAAGTTAACTAACGCCACTTCCATAACTTACGCAATTTATGTAACTTGCCTAACTTAAATAAAAATATTTAATGTTGACTTTTTGTTCCACACAAGACACAAACACCTAGTCTTCTGGTTCAAAGTCCAGGTTCTGGCCCTCAATCCACCCCAACCACCCCCTAACTATGTCTTAAATATCATATACTTTAACGTCAAAAGCTGATGCTACAGGGCTTCCCAGTGCGTTACAGACTGACGCCGACGGGTTTTGGCCATGCGTCCATATATGACGAGCCAGGGAGTGAAAACAGTTATTTAGTAAAACGCTATTGCGCCATGGCCACTGACAGATAACATGGAAAATGTAAGCCAAGAGTGTGAAACATTATCACTGTTTCTCTACCACAGCATTATAAACCACATAATAGATACATTTTAAACAAAGGCATTTTACAACATTAATTCTAATATGAATAAATATAATAAATGTAAAATAAAATAAATGTAAATAAATACTTTGATAGCGGTGCTTAAATAGATCTCAGTCATGACAGCAACAGTTACTCACATAATCACTTCCTCTTTAGTGGTTTTGCCTTCAAAATAAAAGTGCAAGAACGTTTTTTGCATCAATGCTTTATTTCGAGTTGAATTGAGAGCTTTTACTTTGAAATTTTCTGAACAACATTAAAAAGAATCTGTAGCCTGCTTGACACACCTCTGAAAGAGCGGTCAGAAAACGTGATTCCCCTAAATGTTCTTTGCCTGGAGATACTGGGGAAATGTAAAAGCATCCATAGTCAAAGTAATGGTCAAACACTGGAACACTGGAACACTTTACCAACTGAGCTAACTTCAATTCAATTTTTCAATTCAATTTTATTTATATAGCGCCATATCACAACAACAGTTATCTCACAGCGCTTTTCATAACTTAGCAGGTCTAGACCGTACTCTGTGATGTTATTTACAGAAGCCCAACAATTAGGCACTAGGCAACAGAGACAAGGAAAAACTTCCTTTTAACTGAACACAATAACAAAATTGCTACTTATTATGTCTTATATTCCCACCCAACATCTAATGGCTTAAAAAATTGCTCCAATGCAAAACTTATTTGCCAACGCCTGCTGTATATTATTACTTCTTCTTCTTACTTCGAACATATGTATTCAACATAGTGATGAGAGTCTACGCTGCCAGAATGCTACAAGAAGAAGAAGAAGAAGAAGAAGAAGAAGAAGAAGAAGAAGAAGAAAAAGAACAGTGACAAAACCTTTTTATATTCAGTCTATGGACGGAACGCACTCTCTAGTGCTGTGTGCCCGTTTTCAGCAACTGTAGAAACATGACATGGCAACATCCATGGTTAAGTTTGAACTGACCGCCGCTCTGAACTCACTTTCGGTGCAGGCTCCGCTCTCAAGTCGGCTCTGCTGCCAGACAGGAAATAATAAACTGACTTTTTTTCATCCCTGAAAAGACGCAACTTCTCCGTTGTTTTGGCTACAGTGTATGGCTGCACTACACATTGTGGCAACGGTAGGTAACTGACTAGCATTACCTGAAACATTGTAAAACATCTGAATGACGGGTCTTGGCATATGTTTGCCATCAAAATAGCTACCGTTATTAGTATTTGTGCAACTAATTTAAGCAAAGTAGTGAATGCTACACATGTGGGTAATGTTAGACTCTTTGTTGTTTTAAATGTAGTATACTGCAAGTTGGCTAGCGTTTACACCTGAAGTAACTTAGTATAGTAGGATTAGCTTTTTTTTCTGGGGATACCGCAAGCTAATGTTAATTATTTATTTAATTGTGTGTTTGGCTTTATTGTCTTAAACTGTTGACTATGATGCTGATGTTGTTTTTTTTCTCGTCCAAAAGAAGATAAAATTAAGATTTAAAGGTTTTTTTCTATCATTCAGCCACTTCTGTGTAGACTGGCTGTATGAATTTATCTTATTTGAAGTGAAGCTTATGTATGGGACAGTGCTTGGGGGTGGTGATGGAGCAGTGGATAAGACACATGCCATTAGTGTGAGAGACCCAGGTTCAATCCCCCATTGTGACCCATCCACCATTGTGTCTCTGAGCAAGACACTTTTAACCCCTACTTGCTCCAGGGGTGTGCAACCTGTGACATAAATAAATTGTAAGTCGCTTTGAATAAAAGCGTCAGCTCAATGAATAAATGTAATGTAAATGTTTCCCAAACATCTCTAGGAGTAAGTTACACCTTGTCCTGCCTGTTTTAGACATCTCCCTGCTCCAACACAGCTGATTTAAACAGCTTCCGGAGTTCATTATGAGTTGACAGTTTGAGTTATATTTGTGCAGGTAGAGATCAAAACACACACGAATATAAATATTTATTTTACGTTATCCTGTATCCGTTTCCTGTGTAATCGCACATTGGATTTTGTATTTTTTGCATGTGTTTCGTGACCTGACGGTGGAGCCAACCTCAGAGTGGATCTTTTTATATACAGTCTGTGGAGTGGAGCCTACATTGGGAGGTCAGAACGCAGACAGTCTTGGAACACCTCACTTGGGTGAAGTAAGCAATATAGGCTAAATTTTCCCCATGAGGCAACGTCCAGGTGGGATTTGTTTTGTAATGATTGTTTAAAATACTTTGCAGTACACGGTACAGTAAGGCAACCCTTTACTTGGTAAGTTTCGCTCAATTCCTGGAATGCTATTGGATCATGATTATATTGTTAAATTATAAACAGCTAACTAGAGCTATTTAGTGAATTAAAACACCAGACAAAAATGAACTTGGTTTGTCATGTTATTTAAAGATGCACTTTGGCAATGGCTGTACGCTCACAATGTTGTGTGTTGCGTCCTTAGACAGCATTGGAGCAGTTCCTACATTTTGCACTGGCAATGCACAAGCTCCAAGCTGGTGCTGATGGAAGTGTCATCCTGCATAGAATTCCCCCTCACATTTATTCATGACGCTGACGCTTTTATCCAATTAATTAATTAATTAATTATTTATTGCGATATGAAGTCGCACACCTCTGGAGCAGCTAGGGCATGTATGTGTCTTATCCACTGCTTCATCACCACCCCCTCGATCCTCCATCCATGCTGCATTGGGGGAGGTATGTCTGGCAGGCTTTGCAAACTTCTTCTGCAGAACAGAGAATAGACTAGTATTTTGGTATATATTCCAGTATGCGGTCAGGCAGACATGGGCAGTATTTCTGATATATGAATGTAAAATATGTATTTGAAATACAAAATAGTGTGTTGTAATTTGTATTTAATGAGCCTCATAAATGGCTGTGTAATTTGTATCAAAATAATACAATGTTGAGTATTTTAAAAATGCAGAAAATAATTTCCCCAAAACAGGAAATTGGAACAGTGTGTT